ATGCTAAAATAACATTAAAATTTAAATTAAGTGTTAAAATATATAATTAATTGGAACTAAGCTGGAAAAATAAATATATGAAAGTCAATTAAATGATAAAACTTGAGGTAAAGTTCTCCTTTTTAATTTATTTGGTGCATTTTAAATGTATTTATTTATTTAAAGGTTCATTTATCTATTTCTGCTTTTATTTCTAATTATGTCAGTGTCGGTCCTCCGTACTGCAGAACATGAAGAGGTAGTTCAGTGACTGAATCCGGTGTGTTGCAGCAGGGAAACATGTGGACTAGATGCTGATGCGGCTCCAACAAATCTGTTGCGATGTGTTTATCAGACCTGAACACACCTGAGGCTGCAGCTGCGAGGGTCCAGCTCTAAAACGATAAATAACTTATTAAACATCTGCTCCAAATCCAGCAGGTTAAAGCTGAACGTGTCTCAGCTGCAGAGTGAGCGCAGGAGGAGTTCTGCAGAGAATCACGTTGATTTGATCTCGCTGAGCRCGTTTACACCGGGACAGAAGAGAAAAGTGAAACTTATTCATTTCGTTCTGTCGGCTTCAGGAGAGGGGTTAGTGGAGCAGGAACAGTTAATATCTTACCTGTTGTAGGTGGTTTGTTTTTAGTCAGCGTCTAGTCAGAGTRGAACCAGAACCAAAGCGGACTGCGGTCGTCCTGGTCTCAGTCCAGTCTGTAAGTTCATTCCGTTGATTTGCAGGAGCAGAGAGCAGCATTAACAGCTAGCTGTAGCACTTCTAGCAGGAAGTAATATTTTTGCTTTAAGGCTTTTCTTACAAACTGAGCCTGTGACRTGCATATCCATGAAATACAAAAAGTAAAACTTATTTATATTTAAAAACTTGGCGTAAAACACATGATTTGACTCATTATGGCTCATAACTGGTATATTTTCTTTTGTGTTTTGCTCAGCAAAAGTGAAACAGGAAGTGACATCAAAGGGGAACTCTTTGAGAAAAAAACTCAGTGTTTTTTCTTTACTGAAACAATGTTATTTGAACTCTGTCTCACCTCTCTGTGACAGTGATAAAAATAATCTAAAGAAACATCAGATTCTTCTCTACACCGTTTACATTCAGGTATTCCCCTCTGACATCACTTCCTGTTTCTTCACATGTGAATATCGCAACAACTGTTCATCTCAGCTACATGAATTTTTTTTTTACAATATATTATCAACGTTATCTTTTCAAAAATACATTTGTATTTATTTTAAAGTTTTACTGTCACTGGCCCTTTAAATCTGTGCTGGACAAACAGATTCTGGACTCTTCAAACTAAACCAGTATTTAACCGTTGGGCTGTTTGTCTCACGCTAACTTTGACCCATTTGCATCGACACTTTGAGCTCAGGGGTGTAAAAACCTGACACTGACCCGGGTCACTCTGAGACTTTTACCGTTTGAGGAAGTGGAGAATCTTTTTTTTTTTTAATTTTTTTTAATTGAAAGCTTTATACAAACCACAAGGCAGTAATACAAATACAAAACAAAGAGGCATAGGTGCAGAACAGATAACTTAAAGAGTAAATAAATAATTACTAGGGCTGTGTATTGGCAAGAATTTGGCGAAACGATATATATCATAACAGAGGGGTCACGATACGATATATCCCGATATATTGCGATWCTGTAAGCAAGGYGATATATTGCGATTTTTTTTGTCCAAAAATTCTATTAAATAAAAACCTTTTACTGAAAAAAAAGAAAAGGTAATGTTTACTTACAATGCTAATGCTACCTTTACTCTCTGGCGCTCAAGAGGTAGAGGAGCCAAATGGCTGGCTCACTGCTGCCAACTAGTGGTCAGAGGCTGAACTACAACATAAAAATGAACGGCTGGCARGAARGTTGACATTTTAAACCTTAATAAAAAATCGATACAGGGCTTTAGAATATCGATACAGTATCAGGAAATGAAATATCGCGATATTTCAGTGTATCGATATTTTCTTACACCCCTAATAATTACAGGCTACAAAACTGCTAAATTGTGTTAATAATGTTGAGGTTTCTTAGCTAGAGGAGTCACCATTATTTTAAGGGCTTTTACACAGAAACTCATTGAGAAAAACAGAAAACTTAGACATTTTCTTACATTGGATTTGTGTATATATGATTTACCAAGAATCATAACTGTGTTCACCAAAAGAGATGTGTTTTTACAGTCCAGGATGAGACCAAAAATAAGGTCTTTCTGACAGAAATGTCCCAGCTGAGAAAAGCTTATAACCATTTAAAAACAGACGGTTTGGATGTTATCAGTCCATTAAATGGACGTTATTAGTGGTTATCAGTCCCATAGAAAGGCTTCAGACCGTCCCGACAGTGCCCCCTAGTGGGTTACCAGTTCCATATACGTTAGAGTGCAACAATCTGCTACCGCCGGAGTCCGGTCTACTTGACGTAACCCATGTCATTTTCTCTAAAATTAACCTTAGTGGCTTTATGCCTCATATTAACCAGCTGACAGTCTGAAGCCATTCTATGGGACTGATAACGGCTAATAACGTCCATTTAATGGAAAACATCTTGCCAAAAAATACCAGAGAGTTTACAATGAAAAATTTTTAAAAACTCTGTAGTTTTGATATCATCATTACAGAAAGAACAGCAGTTTGTTTCGAAGCCAAAACGCTGATGTAAAGTCATTGGAGGGATTTATATTCTTAAATGTCCAGTAATGAATTTCATTCATTTTGGGGAGAATGGGAAATTTCCAATCAAACAGGCACAGGAAATAAATTTAAGATCGAATCTTTGTAAGATTTAAGAAGAAACAAGATATGAGTGAGTAAGTATCAAAGAGTCTTGTTTTAAATGGGAGTTTCTCTGAAATCACAGTCACCAGTTAAGATTAGTGGAAGTTACACCTGGAATCAAGTGCAAAACAGGAAGTGGAGAACCGTATCGTACGGTGATAAAGCTGCTGATTTCCTGAATATTTCAGCAGAGATTTACTGAAAGTCCTGCAGGAAGMATCTAAGTGCTACAGCTAGCTGCTGCTGCGCGTTTCAGCTCCTCAGACGGTCGGCTCAGTGAAGCAGCAGCTCGTAGAGCTCAGGACTGAACCGACAGCAGTTTGGTTTCACTTTGACCAATGAGGATTAAATCTGTGTTTTAATGTGGATGCATGTAGCAAACCTGTGGAGAGCAGGAGCAACACACACACACACACACACACACACACACACACACACACACACACAGATCTGATGCTGCATTTTCACCGTACAGAGAAACGTTTTTAGATTTCTGAAACTGTTGGCTTCATTTCTTCAGCTCGTAGGAAATAAAACTGAAGCTGTTTTTWAAAAAGTCTCTAAACTGAGTTTTTGTTTGTTGGTGAAACTTCTTCCTCTGTCAGCTTTAGGCTTTTATGTATCTGAAACTAAAATGCAAACAAACAAGAGAAACATTATTTACTCCAAACTAAAAACTACATCCTGAAGAAGCTGAAACTGAAGTAAAACTAAAGCCTCTGGGATCCATTGTTCCACAGAGGAAAACCTTCCAGCAGATTCACCCTGAAGGTCAGACTGTGCAGCGCTCGGAGAAATGACAGAAGACTAAAAGTGGGACAAGAAAGACTCCTTGCAGCACACCTGTGAGAAGCACACAGGTAAGAAAATACCTGGAAGGAAGCAGTCAACATAAAAAATGAGTGGATAAAAAACAACATAAATAATTTCTGTTTCTCTAAGATTCAGTCTTTCAACGTTTAGATCCGATGCAGGCTGGAAAAATGTTCCTTTTAATCTTTGAAATGAGTCTGATTATTAAAAATAAAGTAAGTACTGGTTAATAAAACTGATCTGTGGCCCCAGAACAGTGGATAAAACAGTTTTATCACATGTTCTACTGAATCTTTTTTAAAGAAATGTTTACATTTTAATGTTGATTAAATTAAAATAAAACAATTTAATTCAGGGACTTTCAGAGTCCAGAAGAAACATTAAAAGCCCAGCGGGTGAATCGATCCCAGATGAACGGATCGTATCGATGATTCGGTCTGGTTTCAGCGCATGCGCACTCCCGTTTCTTCCTTTTTGCTAGCTTCTCCGCCATGGCGCCTATTGTGAGTCAAACCTCCTGTCAGTAAATCCCTGAAAACTAATTCTTACTCAGCGTGAAAACCTTAGAAACCAGCTGGTATGAAACGACAGTTTTGTTACGACACCGAGGCTCAGTGGGACCGGTTCTGGTTCGGGACGAATCCGGTTTTATTTGTTTTTTAAATGCTGCGGCCTGCTAGCCTTTAGCTCAGTTTATAACCACGTTGTTAACCCGAACTCAATCCTGCTTGAAGACTTTTAACTATTTATTTATTTATTAAGCAGCAATATTAAAATCGATCCGGTTTGTTTAATAATAAGTTCTGTAACTGTAGAAAAGTAGAACCGAACCGAACTAAAGAGTAAAACTGGTTAAAGTTGTGYTTTATTGGTGGATTTATGTTCAGTATTTTATGAAGTGCAGCTGGAAACTGTGGATTTTTATGCTAATTAATTTGGAGTTAAAACATCTGTGATAAACTGCTGCTCTGCTGTAATTTGTCTTTTTTTCTTGTTTTTTTAATGTTTTATTTTAGCAGAAGAAGCAGAACCCAGGAAAAGGTGGGAAGAAGAAGAAGCAGCTCCTGAAGTTCACCCTGGACTGCACCCATCCTGTGGAGGATGGCATCATGGATGCTGCGAACTTTGTGAGTCCAGCTCAGGTCCACGATGTGATCGGGTCTTTGGTTTCAGGCTCCGGACTGTAAAAGCTGTTATAAGTCAAGGAGCTCAGTGGGTTTTTTGTGTGTTTTCGTCTCCAGGAGCAGTTCCTGCAGGAGCGCATCAAGGTGAACGGGAAAGCCGGTAACCTCGGCGGGGGGGTCGTGTCCATCGAGAGGAGTAAGAGCAAGATCACAGTTTCCTCTGAGGTGCCCTTCTCCAAACGGTGAGCAGCTGAACTCACTTTTCATCCAGTCTGAGCTCGGGACGACCTTTGACATTTGATTCGATTCGCTACCAATATCTGGTCCCTGGGAATCTGTACTGGTACTCAACGGTACCAATTATTGGTACTTTGTTGGCAGTTTTTTAAATAATAACCCCCTCCTTTTTTTTCTTTTTTTACATATTTCTCAATATATAAAATTAACAAATATCAAGACAACATCCAACTGTTTGTATTGTAACAACAGTTGTGTAACTTATTTCTTTAAAGTGAAAACTCTTAAAAACAAGACAGTTTTGTCTTATTACACAAATTAAGATCCATGGAAGGCAAATAAGTTTAAATCAAATAAACAAAAGAGGATGGAGTTAAAATAAATAAAAGTTAGTGCTGGGTGACATGACCCGAATATAAAATCTCAGATTTTTTTTCATCCCAAATTCAGTTTTAATCGATTTTGTTTCCCACTTAACAGAGTGAATCAGTTTCAGATGTTGAAACAAATTTGTTGTTCTGCTTTTTGTATCAAGAGCCTTCAAMCAGATGTAGCAGTGAGGTGTTTGTTGCTCCAAGTCTGAGGTTGTGAAAACAAACCAGTTCCAGAAAACTGAAGAAACCGTGTCTTTTTGAGAAGTAGATCCTCTGCTAGCTGCCATATTGTCATGTTGTGTACCAAGTATCATGAGGCACAGGTGGGACGACCTCTGAACTACAGAAGGCCCAGAGAGAGTGCACTGGTAGGAAAAAAACCCTGATTTTCCCAAATTTAAATCTTTATAAATGGAAAATTTTAATTAATTGATTAAATCAATTTATTTCCCAGCCTGAATAAAAGGCTACAAGCTACGTTTTGAGCATCCAAAACGCTTCAAGCTGGCAGCTTGTGCTCTTTAGGTCAGACATGTTCAGACTGTCAGACAGCTCCTCTGTTGTTTTCCTCTGCTGGTCTCTGTTTAATGRAGGATGAAATAAARAAAGTGGKGGTACTTTATTTACTTTGAGCAAGCGAACGTTGTGCTCACAAGATAATTAATCCAGCAGATAATCAGAGGTGAGTTGAACTCCAGGAGCTGCGAGGCTTTCAAGCTCAGCAGGGTTCATGCAGGGTCTTAAAAAGTCTAAAATTTGAAAAATCTTAATTTTAGGCCTAAAAAAAAAGTCTTAAAAACATCCAGATTTTCATCCAAGCTCTTAACTTTAATTTTGTCAAGTCTTATTTATTTATTTATTTTTACTTCCGATCATTCCAGAAGCATTGGCTGCACAAACAGAGTGAAGCTCAGTAATCAGAGCTTCACTATCTGCCTTCATGAAATGCTAAGTTTGCTGCTGGTCCTGGTCTGTGTTCAACTATAAATCCTGTGATAACTGCAGGCAGAATACGGCACAGTTTACTTTTAGGTTTTCAACATCTTTGCAGCTGCAGCCCCCCGCAGACAGCAGCTGCAGCCCCCCGCAGACTGCAGCCCCCTGCAGACTGCAGCTGCAGCCCCCCGCAGACTGCAGCCCCCTGCAGACTGCAGCTGCAGCCCCCCGCAGACTGCAGCTGCAGCCCCCCGCAGAC